TAGCATGGCCAATCCACCTAGCCTGCACATCTTTGGACTGTGGGAGGAAACCGAAGCACCTGGATGAAACCCATGCAGACACGGGGAGAATGTATAAACTCCACACACACAGTCGCCCAAGGTTGGACTTGAACCCAGGTCCCTGGTGCTGTGAGGCAGCAGTGCTAACCACTAAGCCAGCATGCCGCCCTAAACTTTAGTTAGGCCACACGTGGAATATTGCATACAGTTCTGGTCCACGCTACCAGAAGATGTGGATGCTTTGGAGTCGGTACAGAAAAGGTTTACCAGGATGTTGGCAGGTATTCGGGATTTTAGCTATGAAGAAAGGTTGGATAGACTGGGTTTGTTTTAACTGGAATGCAGGAGGTTGAGGGGCAACCTGATAGAAGTTTATAAGATTGTGAATGACATGGATAGAGTGGAAAGTATGAGGCTATTTCCCAGCGTGGAGGGGTCCATTACCAGGGGACTCAGGTTCAAGGTGGGAGGGGGCGCGGAGAGAACGTTGGGGTGGGCGCTGCGAAATTTAAAAGAGATGTGCGAGGCAAGTTTTTCACACAAAGGGTGGTGAGTGCCTGGAATGCACTGCCAGAGAAGCAGACACAATAGCAGTATTCAAAAAGCACCTGGATGAATATATGAATAGGAAGGGAATAGAGTGATATGGATCTTGTAAGTGAAGGCAGTTTTAGTATGGTCAGGCAAAATGTCTCGGTGCAGGCTTGGAGGGCCAAAGGGCCTGTTCCTGTACTGTATTGTTCTTTGTTCTTGTTCTATATACTTCTTCAATGTTAAAAGGGTTTCCACCTCTACCACCACTATAGGTTCCAGAGCTCACCATCTTCTAGGTATTAAAGTTTTCCTCACATCTCCTCTGAACCTCTGTCCCTTGCCCTAAATTTATGCCCCTGGTCATTGACCTCTCCATCAAAGGGAATGTCTTTTCCTATCTATGCCACTCAATTTTATATCCTCAAGATCATAATCAATTATGTCCTCTCTCAGTCTCCTCTGCTCAAGTCTGTCCAATCCCTCCTCATAACTGAAACTGTCTAGCCCAGACAATATCCTGGTAAATCTCACTCTCTCCAGTGTAAATCATATCCCTTCTATAATATGGATTCCAGAACTGGACAGAATACTTGAGTTGTGACCTGATCAATATTTTACACAATTCCAGCATAACCTGCTTGCTCTTAAACTCTGTGCCTGGACTAATAAAGGCAGTATTCCATATGCCTTCTCAACCACCTTATTCATCTGTCCTAATATCTTAAGGAACCGGTGTACGTGAAGATCTCTCTGATCCTTGATGCTTCCCAGGGTTCTATCATTCATCATGTATCCATAGAAGATAGGAGCAGGAGGAGGCCATTTGGCCTTTGAGCTGGCTCAGCCATTCTTCATGATCATGGTTAATCATCCAACTCAACAGTCTAATCCTGTTTTCTCCCCATAACCTTTGATCCCATTTGCCCCAAGTGCTATATCTAGTCACCTCTTGAATAGATTCAATGTTTTGGCATCAACTATTTCCTGTTATGAATTCCAAGGCTCAACACTCTTTGGGTGAAGAAATGTCTCCTCATCTGTCCAAAATCGTCTACCTCTAATTCTCATACTGTGACCCCTGGTTCTGGACACACCCACTATCAGGAACATCCTCCCTGAACTACCCTGTCCAATCCTGTTAGAATTTTATAAGTCTCTATGAGATACCCCCCCCTCATTCATCTGAACTCTCGTGAAAACAATCCCAACCTAGTCAATTTCTCCTCATATGTCAGACTGACCATCCCCGGAATCAGGCTGGTAAACCTTCGCTGCACTCCCTCGAGTGCAAGAGCATTCTTCCTCAGAAAAGGAGACCAAAACTGCACACAATATTCCGGGTGTGGTCTCACCAAAGCCCTGCACAGCTGCAACAACACATCCCTGCTCCTGTACTCAACCTCTCGCAATGAAGGCTAACATACCATTTGCCTTCTTTACTGCCTGCTGCACCTGCATGCTTACCTTCAGCAACCGGTGCGCAAGGACGGCCAGGTCCTGCTGCACAATCCCCTCTCCCAATTTACAACCATTTGGGTAGTAATCTGCCTTCTTGCTTTTGCTTCCTAACTGAATAACTGCACATTTATCCAAATTATACTGCCTCTTGCCTTGTTTGTTCTGCCCAAGTGCAGCAGCTCACATTTATCCAGACTGAATTCCATTTGCCACTGATCAGCCTATCTGACCAGTCTGTTTATATTCTCTTGTGGTCTAAGGCTATCTTCCTCATTTATTTTTGTATTGTCTGTGAATTTGCTTAACGATCCTCCTAAGTTCAATTCTAAATAATTTATATAAAGCAGAAACAGCATGGGCCCAACAATGACCCCTGTGGAACCCCACTGGATACAGACTTCCACTTGGAATAATATTTCTCAATTATCACCCTCTGCTTCCTGCCACTCAGCCAATTGTGGATCTAATTGGCCAAATTTCCTTGGATCCCAAGGGCTCTTACCTTTTCTTAGTCTCCAATTGGGATCTCTTAAAATGTCTTGCTGAGGTCCAAGTAGACTGCATCAAAATTAATGCTTTCATCTATATACCTGGTCACCTCTGAAAAAAATCAGTTGGTCAGACATGACCTCACTTATGTACAGCACCTGAGAGTTCTAGTAATAATGCCTGAATTGTAATGTAGCTGTACATATTGCTGTCATGCAGTAAATCATCATGTTATCTAAGAACAGTGCCCCTTCTATAAAGACTCCATTGCAGTGTATCCACTGCTACATATCATTAGACAGACCCCGATACTGATGACTGCCAACTTCCTAAACAAACCTTACTCTGACACACACACGTTGCCAGAGATAGCAGATGCCGCAAAGTGCATCAAATAAGGGCATACCACAATGGCATTAAGTCCTCGAAGGGGCTTCTTTAAAGGGATAATAATTACCTTGGAAGACCTTGTGCCTCGGATTGAGGTTGTTGGAGGTAAAAGAAAGAGCAGGAGAAGTTCTCAACAACAAAGACAAAGTTTCTGGAAAAGCTCAACAGGTCTGGCAGCATCTGTGAAGGAAAAAACAGAGTTAACGTTTTGGGTCGGGTGACATTTCCTCAGAACTATGGTGGCTGCGAAAATGTCAGTTTATATGCAGAACAAAGGGGAGGGGGAATGGGGTAGGGAGTAAACAATAGGAGAGAGCCTAAAGAGAGAGAAGAGCGGTTGGACAGACAGAGTTGATAATGATCAGGCTGGGATGGTGAATAGTTGTTAATGAGGACTATTAGTGACTAATAACAGGTAGTGTATAATGGCAGGCTATGTGGTAACAAGGCCTGGTGCGTGGGGTGGGGGGCTGGGACATGGGAGAGTTTAGGCCCTAAAATTATTGAACTTGATATTGAGTCTGTTGGGCTGGAGGGTCCCCAAGCGGAAAATGAGGTGTTGTTCTTCCAGCTTGTGTTGAGCTTCACTAGAACGCTGCAGCAAGCCAGAGACAGACATGTTGGCCAGGGAACAGGATGGTGTGTTAAAATGGTAGGCAACAGGTAGTTCCAAGTCTTTTTTGTGAGCAGAATGTACATGTTCTGCAAAGCAGTCACCTAGTTTACACTTCGTTTCCTCAATCTAGAGGAGACCATATTGTGAGCAGCGAATGCAGTAGACTAGATTCTGGGAAGTTCAGGTGAAGTGTTGCTTCACCTGGAAAGTATGTTTGGGCCCTTGGATACCCAATTCACCTACCCTGCACATGTTTGGGCTGTGGGAGGAAACGAGAGCACCCCAAGGAAACCCACGCAAACACGGGGAGAATATGCAAACTCCACACAGACAGTCGCTGGCGGGTGGAATTGAACCCGCATCCCTGATGCTGTGAGACAGCAGCGTTAACCACCCTGCCACCGTGCTGCCCCAAAATGTTAGTATTTGTACCGTGCTCCGGGTAGAGGACATGATTGAATTTCTAGGTTTACATTTTTTAATGTTAGGTTATTTTAATCAGTCATTGAATGTCCAAGATTATTGGCATAAAGACATAACAAATAAAATTCAAATTTCTTGCGGCAGAATTAATCGGCTCAAATCCAGTAAAGGACACATTTTGTGTTTTTACAGTGATTGGCGTCCAGGCTCAAAGCAAGGCTGCCTTTACATGGGCAAAATCTTGACTATGCAAAATTTTAAAACAATATTACATTAATGTTTTGAAGTTGATGGAGAAACCATCGGAGTATCATCGGTTTGTGAGGAATGTGGTAAAAAGTTTACCCAGCTCCTGCGTGTGGCCACATGGAAAGGGGCTGCTTATTTCATTCGAATTAAAATAAAGCAATTTTTGCAAATAATTTAACGACTTAGGGATGGCGAGAGGGAATTCTCGTAGTCCCTTACAGTCCGAGGCTCGTCCCTGTGCCGATCACTGTTTTATGTGTGTTGATACACGATGGGGGCGGCACGGTGGTTCAGTGGTTAGCGCTGTCGGACTCGTGTTCGATTCCACCCTCGGGCGACTGTCTGTGTGGAGTCTGCACATTCTCCCGGTGTTTGTTTCCTCCGGGGTGCTCCGGTTTCCTTCCACAGTCCAAAGATGTGTAGGCTAGGTGGATTGGCTATGCTTAATTGCCCATAGTGTTCAGGGATGTGTAGCTTGGGTGGGATACTCCAGTGTGGACTTGTTGGGACGAAGGGCCTGTCCCGACAATGCAGGGATTCTATGATCTATAATACCTGTAGTAAAGGAATTAAACACACGTTTCAATGCTCCTTAACGTGAGGAGCACGAACCACCGCCCCAACCCCAAACGGTATTTCAACAACCGGCAGAGCAGGGTTTTGTAGCTTCAAATATGCCAAGCTCGCCAGCAGAATCAATGTAGGTAAAGTGTTTGTCTCCACCCACTCACACTCTCTCTCTCTGTCTGATTTTGGATTGGTAGAGGCCGGTTTTTGTTCTGAGCTCTGATCCCGGAAGCGGTGATGCTTGTTTTTTTTCCCGTAATGAGCTGTTGTTGAGGCCATTGAGGAGGTAAGAGCGGGATCCAAGAAGTGATCGGTGGCAGGCTGTTTGGCTGGGCAATGCATACACAGACTGTGTGGATAGTATACGGACATGATATTTGTTGGACAGTGAAGACAGACGTTGTTTGTCTGGGCTGTGTAAACATAGGGTGTTTGAGCTGTGTTTACTCAGAGTGCTTGGTCAGTGTAGACGGATAATGTGTGTTTGCCTTGAGCTGGAGCTGGAGCTGCGGCTGGGGTGTGCAGTGGAGAAGGAGGGTGTATGTCTGGGCTGTCTACACACATGGTGTTTGCTTGTGCATATGCAATAGGGTGTTTGCCTGTGCAGTGTATATACGGGATGTTGCTCGAGAAGTGGAGATAAGAAGGTGCATGTCTGAATCGTGCGTACACGGGGTGTTTGTCTTTACATTATATAAGTAGAGTGTTTGCCTAGGCAGTGTGTACACAGGGTGTTTGCCTGGCTAGTATACACACATGGTGTTTGCCTGGCCAGTGGAGACCCAGGATGGTTGTCTGAATAGGGTTTGTCTGTGCGCAATGTACACAGGATGTTTGCCTGGACATGGAGAAGGGTGTTTGCTTGAAAGTGTACACAGGGTGTTTGCCTGGACAGTGTGTACAGGATGTCTGCCTGGACTGCATATTCACAAGGTGTTTGCCTGGAGAATATATAGAGTGATAGAGATCTACAGCAGAGAAAAAAAGCCCTTTGGCCCATCACATTAGTGCTGGCCAAAAACTTCCAACTAACTACTCTAACCCCATTTCCCCAGCACTTGGCCCATAGCCATAGTCTTACAGCATGGAACCCGACTGTACAGTCCAACTGGTCCACTCTGACCATTGTTCCCAACCTAAACTAGTTCCACTTGTCTGCGTTTGGGCCGTGTCTGTCCAAACCTTTCCTATTTATGTACTTATCCAAATGCCTTTTAGCAGTTTGAACTGTATCTGCATCTACCACTTTCTCTGGCACTTCAATCCACACGAACCACTTTCTGTCTAAAAATGTTGTTCCTCATGTCCTCCTTAAAACTTTCTCTGCTCACCTTAAAAATATGCCCCCAAGTTTTGAACTCTCCCACCCTAGGGAAAAGACACTTAATCTATTCCCTGCATGATTTTATAAACCTCTATAAGGTCACCCATTAAGCTCCTACGCTCCAGTGAAAAAAGTCCCAGCCTCTCAGCCTCTCAACTCAAACCCTCCATTCCCAGCAACATACTAATAAATCTTTTCTGAAACCTCTCTGATGTAATAATATCCTTCTGTAGCAGGACAACCAGAACTGCACACAGTACTCCAGAAGAGGCCTCACCAACGTCCAATACAACCTCAATATGAAGCCCTAACTTCTATAATCAAAGGTCTGTGCAATGAAGGCAAGTGTGCTAAATGCCTTTTTAACCACTTCACACAAATTTCAAAGAATTATATACCTGAATCCCCAGGGCTGTCTGTTCTACAACACTACACAGGGGCCTGTCATTAATTGTATAAGCCCTGCCTTGTTTGTTTTAACAAAATGCAATATCTCACATTTATCCGAATTAAGCTCCATCTGCCACTCCTCAGCCCATTGACCCAATTGATCAAGATCTCTTTGCAATCTTAAATCACCTTCTTCACTATTCACTATACCACAAATTTTGGTGTCATCCACAAACTTACTGACCATGCCTCCTATATTTTCATCCAAATTATTTATATAAATGACAAACAAAAATGGACCCAGTACCAATTTCTGTGGAACATTGCTCGTCACAGGCCTCCAGTCCAAAAAGCAACAACCCTCTACCACCCTACCGTCTCCTACCGTCAATTGTATTCAATTGGCAAACTCAATCTGAATCCCATGTGACCTAACTTTACTAATTAGTCTACCATGCAGAAACTTGTCAAAGACTTTACTGAAGTCCATAAAAACAATGTCTATTGCTCTCATCAGTCTTTTTGGTTACTTTCTTAAAAAGCTCAATCAAGTTTGTGAGACACAATTTCCCTCACACAAAACCATGCTGACTATCCCTAAGCAGGTCTTGCCTCTCCAAATGTATGTAAATCCTTTCTTTCAGAGTCACTTCCAATAATTACCCACCACCATGTCAGGCTCAGAGATCTATGGTTTCCAGGCTTTTCCTTAAAGCCTTTCTAGTTAATGGCACAACTTTAGCCACCCTCCAGTCCTCTGGCATTTCATCCGTGATTATAGCTGATGATATAGATTAAATATTTCTGCAAGAAGCCCAGCAATTTCTTCCCTAACTTCCCACAAAATTCTGGGAAACACTTGATCAGGTCCCAGAGATTTATCCACTTCTTTGTTTTCTAAGACCTCCAGCATTTTCCTCTTTTTCTGTATTGTGAACTGTTTTCAAAACGTCAATATTTATATTCCTGACTTCTCTAGCATTCATTTCTACTTCTTAAATGTTAAGACACTTTCTGCTTCTACCATCCTTGTAGGCAAGGAGTACCAGATTCCCAGCGCCCTCTGGGTGAAAAAGTCTTTCTTCACATCTCCTCTAAATCTTCTGCCCCTTACCTTCAATCTTTGCCATCTTGTTCAATGATCCCTACATCAGAGAAAAGTTTCTTCCTGTCTATCCTGTCTGTGCCCCTCATAATTTTATACATCAAAATCATGTTTCTTCTCAAACTCCTCTGCCGTAAGGAAAACAAACCCAGTCTGTCCAATCTCTCTTCATAACTGAAACTCTCCAGCCCAGACAACATCCTGGTAAACTCCCCTGCACCCTCTCCAGTGCAATCATGTCCCTCCTATAATGTAGATTCCATAACCGCACACAATCTAGCTGCACCCTAATCAATGCTTTATACAGTTCCTGCATAACCTTCCTGCTCTGAAACTCTGTGTCTCAATTAATAAAGCAAGTATGCTATATGCCTTCTTAACCACTTTTTCCACCTGTCTTGTTACCTCAAGGGACCGGTATACATGCATGTGAAGGTCCTTCTGATCCTAGGTGCTTCCAAGTGTCCTTACCATTCATCATGTATTCTCTTGACTTGTTTGTCCTACTCGTGCAACAGCTCACTTTCATCCAGATTGAATTCCAGTTGCCACTGACCAGCCCATCTGTATTCTCTTGTCATGTAAGGCTATCCTCCTCACTGTTAACCACACCATCTGCAAACCTACTGATCAACCCTCCTACATTCAAGTTTAAATCATTTATGTAAAGCACAAACAGCAGGAGCCCCAACTCTGACCCCTGTTGATCCTACTGGACACAGATCTCTAGTTGGAAAAACACTCGTCAACCATCACCCTCTGCTTCCAACATTCAGCCAATTGTGGATCCAATTTGTCAAATTTCCATGGATTCTATGGGCTCTTACCATTTCCATCAGTGTCCCATGTAGGACCATATTAAAAGCATTGCCCTCATCTACACACATGAGCACCTCTGAAAAATTCAATAAAGTTGGTCAGACTTGATCTTCCCTTAACAAAACCATGCTGACTGTGTTCTTGATTAATCCCTGCCTCTCCAAATGCATTTGGGATTTTGCCTAGACAGTATATGCATAGGTTTTTTTTGACTCAACAGTTTATTCTCACAATGTTTTCCTGTGTATTATGTACATCATAGTGTTCACCTGTACAGTATATTCACAGGGAGTTTGACTGGTCAGTATATACACATAGTTTTTACCTGGACAGTATATTCACACAGTGTTTGCCTGGACAGTATATACATAGATAACACTGTGTGGAGCTGGAGGACACTGCAGGCCAGGCAGCATCAGAGGAGCAGGAAAGCTGACATTTCAGGTCAGGATCCTTATTCAGAATTTCCGAAGAAAGGCCCCGACCCGAAACATCAGCTTTCTTGCTCCTGTGATGCTGCTGGCCTGCCGTGTTCCTCCAGCTCCACACGGTGTTATCTCTGACTCAGCATCGGCAGTTCTTACTATCTCTGAGTGAATATATACATGGGATTTTCTTTTTTATATGATCATATGTATGCAGATCACAACTCCCTGACCTCTACTGTAATCACGGATAGGGATAGGAGCAGACGGTATGGGAAAGTATTCAATTGTGGGAGAGGGTGTTGCAATGCTATTAGGCAGGAACTGCGGAGCATAAATGGGGAACAGGTGTTCTCCGGGAAATGCACGACAGAAATGTGGAGGTTGTTTAGGGAGCACTTGCTGCGAGTGCTGGACAGGTTTGACCCACTGAGGCAAGGAAAGGATGGAAAGGTGAAGGAACCTTGGATGACAAGACATGTGGAACACCTAGTCAAGAGGAAGAAGAAAGCTTACTTAAGGTTGAGGAAGCAAGGATTAGACAGGGCTCTAGAGGTCTACAAGTTAGCTGGGAAGGAACTGAAGAATGGACTTAGGAGAGCTAGAAGGGGGCATGAAAAAGCCTTGGTGGGTAGGATTAAGGAAAACCCAAGGCGTGAGGAAGAAGAGGATGGCCAGAGTGAGGGTAGGGCCGATCAAGAATAGTGGAGAGAACTTGTGCCTGGAGTTGGAGGAGGTAGGACAGGTCCTTAATGAATACTTTGCTTCAGTATTCACCAGCGAGAGGGACCTTGTAGTTTGTGAGGACAGCGTAAAACGGGCTGATATGCTCGAACAGGTTGATGTTAGGAAGGAGGATGTGCTAGAAATTTTGAAAAACATGAGGATAGATAAATCCCTGGGCCAGACGGGATATACCCAAGATTATTATGGGAAGCGAGGGAAGAGATTGCTGCGCCTTTGGCGATGATCTTTGTGTCCTCACAGCCCACTGGAGTAGTACAAGATGCTTGGAGGGTGGCAAATGTTATTCCTTTGTTCAAGAAAGGGAATAGGGCTAGTTCTAGGAATTACAGACCAGTCAGTTTTTCTTCTGTAGTGGGCAAATTATTGGAGAGGATTCTGAGAGATTGAGATAGTATTTATGATTATTTGGAAAAGCACAGTTTGATTAGAAATAGTCAGCGTGGCTTTGTGAGGGGCAGGTCATGCCTCACAAGCCTTATTGAATATTTTGAGGATGTGACAAAACACATTGAAGGTAGAGCAGTGGATGTGCTGTATATGGTTTTTAGCAAGGCATTTGATAAGGTTCCCCATGGTAGGCTCATTCAGAAAATAAGGAGGCATGGGATTCAGGGAAATTTGGCTGTCTAGATACAGAATTGGTTGTCCAATAGAAGACAAAGGGTGGTAGTACATGGAAAGTATTCAGCATGGAGCTCGGTGACCACTGGTGTTCTGCAAGGATCTGTTCTGGCACCTCTGCTCTTTGTGATCTTTATAAATGACTAGGATGAGGATTTGGAAGGGTGGGTTAGTAAGTTTGCCGATTACACAGAGATTGGTGGAGTTGTGGACAGGGAGGAGGGCTGTTGTAGGTTGCAACGGGACATTGACAGGGTGCAGAGCTGGACAAGGAAGTGGCAGATGGAATTCAACCTGGAAATGTGTGAAGTAGTGCAGTTTGGAAGGTCGAATTTGAATGCAGAATACAGGGTTAATGGCAGGATTCTTGGCAGTGTGGAAGAACAGAGGGATCTTGGGGTCCACATCCATAGTTCCCTCAAAGTTGTCACCCAAGTTGATAGGGTTGTTAAGAAGGCGTATGGTGTGTTGGCTTTCATTGGCAGGGGGATTGAGTTTCAGAGCCGCGAGGTTATACCTCAGCTGTACAAAACGCTGGTTAGACAACACTTGGAATATTGTGTTCAGTTCTGGTCGCCTTATTTTTGGAAGGGTGTGGAAGCTTTAGAGAGGGTGCAGAGGAGATTTACCAGGATGCTGCCTGGACTGGAGGGCAGGTCTTATGAAGAAAGGTTGAAGGGACTAGGGTTTTTTTCATTGGAACGAAGAAGGATGAGAGATGACTTGATAGAGGTGTACAAGATGATGAGAGGCATAGGTTGAGTGGATAGCCAGACACTTTTTCCCAGGGCGGAAATGACTATCATGAGGGTGCATAATTTTAAGGTGATTTGAGGAAGGTATAGAGGAGATATCAGAGGTAGTTCTTTACACAGAGTGCTAGGTGCGTGGATTGCACTGCCAGCGGTGGTAGCAGAATCAAATGCATTAGGGATATTTAAGCGACTCTTGGATAGGCACATGGTTGATACGAAAATGAAGGGTATGCAGGTTAGTTTGATCTTAGATAAAAACCGAAAGAACTACGGACGCTGTAAATCAGGAACAAAAGCAAAGTTGCTGGAGTTTCTGATGAAGGGTCTCGGCCCGAAACATCAGCCTTTTTGCTCCTATGATGCTGCTTGGCCTGCTGTGTTCATCGAGCTCTGCACCTTGTTGTCTCGGATTCTCCAGCATCTGCAGTTCCTACTATCTCTACTATTGCTGGAAAAGTTCATCAGGTCTGGCAGCATCT